ACCAGTTAGGGGCTTGTTCTCCTGGCGTGGTAGTTGACGCAACAATAGACATTGTTATTATTATTCTTACATTCCCCCCACCTCTGTTCACCTCGGTATGCAGCGTGTGGTGGGTGGGGGAAATCGTGGCTAAACTCCCACTACTTTCTAAGACGCCTTAGCCAGCGTGGAAGAGTAGGCCAAAAATACCAAATATAAGGGGCTTTCCAGAGCTCTCTCTCTTGCGGCTGTACTCTCGAACACACCGGTTAGTGCAGAGCTAGTAACTAATTGGCACTTTTTGTGAACGTGACAAACCCCTACTGATTGGCCATGTCTCCTGTCCTTACCCTAGTTGGCTTCGTGGTTCGAGTATCCCTCTTTTTTTCTCCTCCTCTCCATCGCCTTTTCCTCTCCAAACTCTTCACGCTCTTCTTCGACTCCCGCTCTGTTTCTTTATTCCACATCTTACGTCGTTTTTTTTGTAATTTTGTGCTAATATCGGCGCGCCTGCTCGTTCCGGTCGTGAGCGCGGGGGGGGGGGGGGGCGGGGGGGGGTTGCCTGCTGCGCTCTACCACCGGCCAGTTTTGCTGTGCCAACGCTGTGTTCCTCGTGGATGCAAAGGTGGCAGTGGCCACAAAAATCGTGCCTCTGACCGATCTGACTTAAAACTTTCGTGACTGCAGGAATTCATATTCTTTGGCTCTTTCGGTAAAGTCACGAAGATAGAAAAATAATACTTAAAATAATAATAAAAAAGAGTGTACTGGCAGTCTATAATGTAGACTGTAGCCTGGTTATTAAGTTTGGTGAGTGTACTGGCATTCTATAATGTAGACTGTAGCAATGGTTATTAAGCTTAATAACCTTAATAACCATTGCTAATAACCATTGTTACAGTCTAAGCTTATTAAGCTTAATAACCATTGCTACATATTCTTGGTTCTTTCGGTAAAGTCACGTAGAAGGGAAAAATAAAATAATAAAAATATAAAACAATAAAATTCTCACGACGTTTCGACTGCAACACAAGCAATCATCATCAGGTGTGAAAACCACAACAAGAACATTTGAAAAAAGTGGCGGTGTTTTTTCCGTCTCCCCCCTCCTCTTTTCCGAACATAGATGGACTCGTCCATCTGAACAAACTGTCAAATCGCTATCCGTGGTGCTAACGTAAAAAAAACGCCACTTTTTTCAAATGTTCTTGTTGTGGTTTTCACTCCTGATGATGATTGCTTGTGTTGCAGTCGAAACGTCGTGAGAATTTTATTGTTTTATATTTTTATTATTTTATCGTTTCCCTTCTATGTGACTTTACCGAAAGAACCAATAATATGAATCCCTGCAGTCATGAAAGCTTGAAATCAAAATTTAACCATTGCTACAGTCTACATTATAGACTGCCAGTATACTCACCAAACTTAATAACCAGGATACAGTCTACATTAGTGGGGTTTTTAAATAAAACATTTATATTTATTATTTTTATTCACTTTCTTTCATTATTTGTCTTCTATCTACGTGAGTTTACCGAAATAACCAAATAATATGTTCGATCTGTTTAGGGTCTTGTTCGGTTGGCGCTCCTTAATGTACGATCGCTGAGTAGCAAGGCATTGCTTGTTAATGATCTAATTTCTGACAGGTCTATTGATCTCATGTGTCTAGTCGAGACCTCGCACCGGCCTTCTGACCATGTTGCAATTGTTGAGGCTAGGCGACCTGGATTATTTTTTTTATGCAATGAACCAAGGGTCGTGGTGGTGGCCTTGCGATTGTCTGCACTAAGTTCACAATGCTGGATCCACTGTCCTTCCCACGGTATCAATCTGTCGAATACTGAGCACTTGAATGAAAAATAAAACAGCCTCTTCTGATTGTGTTAATTTATCGCCCACTTAAGCTGTCTCTGCTTTTCTTGAAATATTTCACAGAGTTATTCTGCGTGCTCTGGAGAATGTATTTCTGGATTTCAGAGTAATTCTCCCCCACAACGATCGGATACTGTTGCTAGGCGATTTAAATATCCACGTTGACGAACCATCTAATCCTTTAGCCAAGGTTTTTCTGGCGACTCTTGATTTTTTGGGTTTCATTCAGCATCTTCAGGGACCTACCCATTCCCACGGTCATACTCTGAATCTGGTTTGCTCTACTGCTCTTCACGTGTGTAATGCATCAGTGTTCGATGTCGGTCGATCAGACCACTCTGTAGTGCTCTTTGAAATGTTCTTATTTCGCCCTGCTGGTTTATATAGTCAGATCTTCTTTCGTAAATTGAAATCCCTTAATCCAACCACACGTATTGATGTTTTATCTATCTCGGTTTTATCAGAACCCAGTTCAAGTTTCATTTATTAGGTATAGCCCTGTGAGCCATGCGGCTCTTAAGTCGGGTGCAACCGCAACAAACAAAATATGAATCTACATTGCAGAAAACTATTACACCACAACCAAACCAAAATAAAGCTACAAAAACAATGCAACAACAGTAATCAAAGGAACTGTGATTTTAAATTAAAAAAATAAACGATATACATAACACGCACGACAAAACCTGCAGTCATAGCTGGCAGCACGACACTCCCAGTGTATGATGTATGAGTGAGTCAGCATCAGCGTGAGTGTATGATGTGCGAGTCAGCGTATGATGTGCGAGTCAGCGTATGATGTGTTAGTCAGCGCATGATGAGTGAGTCAGTGTATGATGTGCGAGTGAGCCAGCACACGATGAGTGAACCTGTGTATGATGAGTGAATGGGTCAGTGGTTGTGCGAGTGTATGTGTGAGTGAGTAAGCGCATGATGAGCGAGTCAGTGCATGATGTGTGAGTGAGTCAGTGCATGGTGTGAGTGAGTCAGTGTATGATGTGTGAGTGAGTCAGTGTATGATGTGTGAGTGAGTCAGTGTATGATGTGTGAGAAAGTCGGTGTATGATGTGTGAGTGAGTCAGTGTATGATGTGTGAGAAAGTCGGTGTATGATGTGTGAGTGAGTCAGTGTATGATGTGTGAGTGAGTAAGCGCATGATGAGCGAGTCAGTGCATGATGTGTGAGTGAGTCAGTGCATGGTGTGAGTGAGGCAGTGTATGATGTGTGAGAAAGTCAGTGTATGATGTGTGAGTGAGTCAGTGTATGATGTGTGAGAAAGTCGGTGTATGATGTGTGAGTGAGTCAGTGTATGATGTGTGAGAAAGTCAGTGTATGATGTGTGAGTGAGTCAGTGTATGATGTGTGAGAAAGTCAGTGTCGGCTCCCTCTGCTCGCGCCATCGCCCCCCCCCCCCCCCGGCTCCGTCGCCCCCCCCCCCAGCTCCGTCGCCCCCCCCCGACTCCATCGACCCCCCCCCCGGCTCCGTCGGCCTCCTCTGGCTCCGTCGGCCCCCACCCGGCTCCGTAGCCCCCCCCTCTCGCTCCGTCGGCCCCCCCCCCCGGCTCCGTCGGCCCCCCCCAGCTCTGTTTGAGTTTTTGTCAATTTTATTAATCGATAAAATAACTATATTCTCTTTGGTTCTTTCGGTAAAGTCACGTAGGAAGAAAAATAATATATCACGACGTTTCGATCGCCACACAAGCAATTGCCTATAAGGTTACCGCTCTCTCCCACCTGAAGATGATTGCTTGTGTGGCGATCGAAACATCGTCATCTATTATTTTTTCTACCTACGTGACTTTACCGAAAGAACCAAACAGTATAGATTCCTGCAGTCACTAAAGATTCAAATCAAGATTAAAATACCAACAATTCGCTCACTGCTGAATTAATCTGCAGCTAACTCTCTTTCTCCGGATTTCCAGCCTCAATTCAATGGTACACCACTAACTATGCTCCTAGTAATTTCTTCCACTGAACTTTCTGCCCTGATTGCCAATTCCCGCCCTACATGTTGTCCACTAGACCCCTTTCCTAATAACATCTTCAAAGAAAAACACGACGTTTCGGCCACAGATCACTGTTTATAATTCAGTGGGCTCACATGACATTGACCTCTCCAAGACAGAGGTTCTTTGCAAGCCAACCGGCTACCATGAGAGATTCGTTCATGAGGCTATCCACATATACAAGCACAGAGACAATTTCAACCGATAAGATGGATTCTGGCTTAGTAACCATTGGAAAGATGTTTTAAACCATTTCGGTTCTTAATTAATTCTTTTATGGTGACCTTCAGACCGCAGCTCTTTCGCTGGCATTGACTCTTAATACTTCTCAAACCACGGTTAATGGTATGGTTTATAACATGATTATAACAGCGCCTCGCAGCTGTTTCTCTCCTCTGTTCCGACCATGATGGACTCGTCCGTCTGAACGGGGCTCATAGCGGTCCGTGGTGCTGATGTGGAGGGTAAGAACCCACCCATTTTTTCGCCATATAGCATCGTGATATATATCGACTTATTGTTGGTAGCTCAGCTGATTGGAGAATATATAGAGTTTATTGATAACATTGAGGTAGTTTATATTTTAGTTTTTTATTTGTTTACTATATGGTATTCATTATATAGTGTAGTGTATACCCAGTTACTGTTAATAGCTCAGCTTATTGAAGAATATATTGAGTACATTTATTATATTGATGTAATTTAGACTTAGGTTTTTTTCACATTGGTTTACTGTATGATAGTTGAGTTGTTGCAGCCCTTTGGCGTCCATGTAGGAGGTGCCTCTGTGGATGTGTAGGCTTTGACTTTAACACAGCTATTTCTGTGACCAGTCACAAGCTAATCCCTCAACTGTTTCAATGCTAAATTCTCCTGTTTGATATGTAAACCCCTTTGTCAAGGTGCCTCACTTCTCTCAACCAGCTTAAAAGACGCTGCAAATCTTAGCAGCGTTCATTGTAGCTCTGTCGTCCCGACAGGTTTGTTCCTTTCACCTGAAGACGGCCACTTGCGTTGTGGCCGAACCGTCGTGAGAATTAAATTGTTTTATTTTATTATTTTATTCTCATTCTACGTGACTTTACCGAAAGAACCAAGGAAGATGAATCCTTGCAGTCACGAAAGCTTTAAATCGAATTTTAACTGCTAGTCACTGCAGGCCACGGTTCAACAAGTGCTCTTGTTCTTCTAGACCTCAGCGCAGCATTCGATACAATCGACCATGACATTTTAATTGAATGGCTTGAAATATTATGAGGGTAACACATTCTGCTCTGGAGTGGTTCTGCTCTTACCTGCAAAGCCGCAAGCAGTATGTCGATATGGGTGGCTTTAATTCCTCGGTCAGTTCAGTGCAATCTGGGGTTCCTTACGGATCAGTGCTTGGTCCCATTCTTTTCAGAATTTACATGGTCCCGTTTGGAACACTGCTGCGATGTCCTGCGCTATGCTACAACTGCTATGCAGATGACACCCATATTTACCTATAACAACTGCAAAATCATGGATGCAGAACAATTTTCTCCAGCTAAATGGAAATAAGACCGAACTCCTCTTAGTCGGCTCTCCCCAACAGTTGCAAAAAACTGGAATTTTCAGCCTAGTTATTGATGGTCATCTTGGGGTGATATTTAAAGCGTTCTGTTCTTTAGAAGCTCATGTTAATAAGGTTGTGAAAACATCGTTTTTCAACTCAGAAACATTTCTCGACTGCGCAACATCATTACACCGATTGAATGCAAGAGGTTAGTCCATGCACTTGTCCTCTTGCGAATCGATTTCTGCAATGCTTTGCTGGTTCGTATTTCAAATACTGTAGGTCCTTGGTAGAAGACAAATGATTCAGAATGCGACTGCTCGGGTGCCCACCCGAACCCCGTTACGTGACCACATTTCTCCAGTTCTCTTATCATTACACTGGCTACCGGTCTTGAAGTGAGTATAGTTTAAGAGCCTTCTTTACTCGTTTATAAAGCCTTGCATGAGCTGGCACCACCATATATTCACGAGATAATTCATCCATAAACCCCTCGAGGTCGTTAAGATCTGCGTACCTCGATCCCTGCTGCATTGCTGGGGTGAGTGGGCATTTTTTTTTGTGGCTTCGCCTCGGTCGTGGAATTCCCTACCATTGGAAATTCGTTTAACCAACAATGTGGATACTTTTAAGTCGCGTCTACAAACACATTTTCTTCATTCCATTTATTATATTCAGCTGTCCTTCTCTCGTGGCCTTTCCTTAACCTTATTCTTACAAGGCCCCTTGAGACATTAGTGGGAGGCGCCTTACAAATACATGTAAATTATTATTTCGATTTACGGGCACTAACCCAAAACAACCACTTTTATAAAGGAAAGCATGTTTGTTTGCACTATTTACCACAGGCATGTGTGGTTAATGCAGATTTGATGATGCTTTGCAATAGGTATGTCTATTTTGTGTTTGAACATCTAAAAATTTTGACAATTGTTTTCGACGTTTTGCTTCGTGATTGCATCCGGCATCAGGCGTGGTGGCAGATTTAACAACACATTTATACTTGCGCAAACTAACCCCAAACACCTTTATTACAGATATTATTGGTCGCGAAAGCCTGTGTTAAAGCGATCTTTCATATTATCTGTATAAAAAGGCTGCATTTCTTTTTGTTGCCAACGCGTGCCTCCGATGTACCCAGGAAATGCTGCTTCACTGGACTTCCCTCTGTCTCGTCGCTGGGCTGTCCCAAGTGGCACGTGGTGGCAATGTTTTGGTGTGGCCAGCCGATGCCAGCCACTGGATCAACATAAAATCCATCATGGATGAGTATGCAAGAGACAGTCATCATGATGCCATAATTATCAGCATCATCACCATCTAACTATACCCTATTGGATGAAGGCTTCCATACCCGATCGCCATCCTTCACAGTTCCACCATGGCACAATCCAGCTCGCTACCTTATCCTTACGTGATGTCATCACTTGATTCCCATGGCGAGTTTTCGCCTTTGGAATTCCACTCCGTCTCTTTGTCTTAATATATTTTCTTTAATTAAAGGGTGCCTCGGTGCCGTGAAGTTATCTTTCTCACGTGGTTAGACGGATATCGGAGATTTAATCCTGACCCTGACGCCTGTATATTTGAAAGTGTGTATGTTCTCCCCGTGGTCACGTGGATTTTTTCTCCGGGTCCTCCGATTTTTTTCCTCAACATTTAGAAAGATGCGTTTAAAATTATTTATATTAAGTGGCTGCTATCATTTGAGGCCAGGTCGCTTATGAAAAAAGGTTAATATCTTGGTGGGTTTGCCTAGTAAAATAAAATAGCTAAGTTGTTTTTCTATATATATTTAAGTGATTTGCTTACCTTTCCTATGCTATGCACTCCGATCGTGTTTCTATATTTTGTTTGTTGTTGTAACGTTCTCGCCCACCCCTACTGAACATCTGTGAACAATAACTTTATAACTCATCGGATTCCTCTAGTTTAAATATATAAACTGATTCTGATTTAACACCACCCAATCATCCCTTCCGATGTGCCCTGCCCAATCCATTACGTTTTTAACAGTAAATATGGTATGTATGATTCTAATTTATTATCTGATCCATATTTAATTGTAATAAATATCCCCAATTGTAATTTGCGCAATATTTGTATACATTAAAAAAATCACTATCTATAGTTCTTATATATTTTTACGGAATGCTCGATGTCATGCAAAAGGGCGAAAGGAGCACAGTAAATGTTTGAACGTATAAACAATGAGAACAAACGCATCTCCGATTGGCACGGTTGACTATGTACGGTGTGAAAGAAATTCAACATACATAACAAACCAAGAGACAATAAATTATCACTGAGATTAATATGCATGTATGTTGGACATGTTTCACACCTTACGTAGCCAACCGTGCTAATCAGAAGTACAAGGGAAAGACAACACATCTAAACACAAATAGTAGTTCTAAAGAAATTATTTTCAATCGAGATTTAAAAGTACGTGGACGTGCCCAAATTACAATTAGTTGAGGCAGTCATGTGCCACAAGGGTCATAGTAATGAACCCCACATCTATGAAACGTGGATTTCAATCCAGGCAGCCATTCAATCATGTGTAAGTGTCGTGAATGCTAAGTTTAACTGCATCTCGTTTAATCAGGTGTGAGAACTCAAGAGACCAGGATGAGCAATGTGCAAGAGTGACCTGGGGCATTAGCCTGCCGTTTAGGGCGTGACGATCGCTATGCATAATTTGGACCTCACGTTAATGAAACAAGGGGAAAGATATTCAAGTTCCCCCTCCCCTTTTTCACCCCTACTCCCCTTTCCCCCGCCCCTCCCACTGCATGTCCATCCAGCAGTGTAATTGGGTACACCACAGTGTCATGATTGGGGTAAAGAGTGCCCAAACCTGGAATATTAGGCCAAACATCTTCCACAGGGGTGTCTAGAACTGCCTCTATTCTGTAACTTTTCATATACCAATTTAAACAAAAACTGGTCATCAGATATACTAAAAAAAAATAGATTTTCATCAAGACCCATTGTCTAAAGTGCAGTCTCCAACTTGTATTATCCACTCTACCTCTCTGGTTTATTCATGTGCTACGAATAAGGGCCATTTATTGAAATGTCACCATTTACATATATTGTGTCATGCCATTTAAAGCCACGCAGTGCTATTGACGAATGTGTTGGAATTGTTGCTATTTGTGCTTGTGCACCACTTCCAAATGCATCATCACCAAAAATGAGTCCTCTTATTGTTTTATATATATTTTAGTATTTTATTGTTTCCCTTCAACATGACTTTACCGAAAGAGCTAAGAATATGAATTACTGCAGTCACGAAAGCTTTAAATCAAAATTTAGGCCCCATTCCGTCAATAGTGGCGAGATTGTAGGGCTTGCACTGTTTACCGTTGCACCAGGCTCGTCGAGAGAGGACACCAGGTTACCGTTATCATCCCCACCGGGGCGATGTTCATGGACACGCGGACGCTGGGACGCGTGCACCACGAACTCCTGAAGGTCAACTTCACCAAAGAGGAGCAGGAGGTGAACATGGACAAATTCTTCCAGTTCTGGATTTTTGAGAGTACAAAACTCTCTTACTGGGAGGTCTACTGGAGACACAATGCAGAGGTTCAGGAGAACATGAAAGGTAAGTAAACTATAAAATAATCTAAACTATCTTTATTTTTAACTATTTTTTTTTTACCAGGTAAGGCCCACTGAGCTATACGGCTCTTTTTCGCAGCAACCTGGCCACAAGTGATAGCTCAACGAGGTGGCTTATCATGTGAAAGTTATAGTAGCCGAATACACTAAACGCATGTTTCTAAATGCAGAGGGATAACTTGGAGGACTCGGATAAAAAATCCATGCTACTATGGGGAGAGAAACACCGCAAACTCCAAATATACAACAGGCATGAGGGTTCGGATCAAACCAACAACATCCTGTATGTTAGGGGAGGAAGTTAACATCTCGCTACCGTTTTACTCCTCACATTAATCCGATCACCAACAACCAAATAAACAAACCATGTGGTTGGACAGATCTTTCACATTTAGTGCACCACACCTCTGGATAAATCTCCCAAAAGCAATCTGCACACCCGACTCCAATATTCCGATATTAAAGTTACAACTAAAAAGACATCTCTTTACAACTAATTCCCAATCACATGCTTTTTTTTTTCAAACAACAATAGATATTTTGTAAATAAATATTCTTTCTCATTGTTTAGTACAGTGAGGGAAAAAGTATTTGATCTTCTTTGGTTCTTTCGGTAAAGTCACGTAGAATGAGAATAAAATAATAAATTGATAAAATAAAATAACACAATAATATTCTCACGACGTTTCGGCCACAACACAAGCGGCCTTCATCAGGTGAAGGGAGCGAGACTGTCTGGTAGGACAGCGCTGGAGTGAGAGAGCCACGTTCAGATCACGGCTTTTAAGCTGTGTGAGAGGAACAAAGAGCCTTGACGAAGGAATTAGCATAAAATTTAGCATTGAAAAGGCTGAATGATTAGCTTGTGACTGGTCACAGAAATAGCTATGTTAAAAGTTAAAGCATACACATCCGCAGAGGCACCCATTGTTAAAAGGAATTAGCATAGAATTTAGCATTGAAATAGCTAAATTAAGGCATTCGCTTGTAACTGCTACAGAAATAGTTACGTTGAAGTCAGAGCATACACATTCACCGAGGCACTTAGTACAAATCAAAACAGGAGAATTTAGCATTGAAATAACTAGGCGAATTTAGCATTGAAATAACTGGGTGATTTGCTGGTGACTGGTCACAGAAATGACTACACCTCTGAGCTATTCACAGTACTATATAGTGAACCAATAAAAACTAAAATATAAATTACCTTCATGTTATCAATAAACTCTATATTCTCCAATCAGCTAAGCTACCAACCATAAGTCGTTATATATCACAATGCTATATGGCGAAAAAATGGGTGGATTCTTACCCTCAAATTTCCGTACTACGGATAGCTACGGGCCCCGTTCAGACGGACGAGTTCGTCCATGGTCGGAACAGAGGAGGGGGAGAGAGACAGCTGCGAAGCCCTAGTATACTCCATGTTGTAAACCATACCATAACCGTGGTGTGAGAGGTATTTTGCCTCTTTCTAATTTTACTTTGAGTTTAAGTGTTAATGTGATGATGGTGCTTTGAGTGGCGGATTTGTGCCAGAAAGGCACCATATATGTAAACAAAAAAAATTCACATGACGTTGCTTAAGCTTTCGTATTTTCCCTCCACATCTTGAACTTCTTTCGCACCGTACGTAGCCAACCGTGCTAATCAATCGGAGGTACAGAGGAAGTACAACAAACTAAACACAACAAGCTACTCATAATAAATGATTTTTCAATCTATAATTAAAAGTACATACGTCCCATATCAAATATCCCATATCTCTCCAAGGCCCTCGAGTGCACAGACACGGTGGCGAGATGGAATGTAGGTATGCATCGCCTGGAATGAGGAGATTGTGGATTCGATTGCATCCCTGCCACCTGTACATTTGGAGTTTGCATGTTCTCCCCGGGGTCGCGTGGATTTTCATTCCGGGTCCTAAGGTTCTTCCCTTCACATTTAGAATCAACGTCTGTTTGGAGTATTTGGCTGCTATACCTTTCCACCCGAGAAGACACTTCGTTGAGCTATCATTTGTGGTCAGGTCGCTTCTGAAAAAGAGCTATATAGATCAGTGAACTTTACCTGGCAAAATAAAAAAAATGGTTTCGTTTTTATTTTAGTACAATGATGCAAACTTGCATAGGATTTTTGTCCTTCTAAACCTGAGTGCCCCCTGAGACACTGCATCTTGTTCGAGTGATTGTAAGGCTACTTCAGAAAAAGATTTGTCATCTCCAGCTCTGTCCTGTGCCAGTTAATCTCTTACCTTTCTGATCGAAATCAGTTTATCAACCTGGACAGGGCGAAATTCAGACAAATGTTCAGATTTATTTGCCGTTCTCCATGGATCAGTCCTTTTGTTGTGGATATACTTGACCCCATTTGGGCATTTAAGCCAACTCCTGCTTAGTTTCCACTGTTATGCTCACTCCAATATATATTGATTCCAAATCCCCCCCCCCCCCCCCCCAATGTGTATGCCTCGGGTCGTTCCTGGTGTTTAGTTTGTTGTCCTTCACCTACACCTCCAATTAGCACGGTTGGGTATGTAGGTCTAGAATAAGTTCAACACGGATACATATGTCATTACATCGCGGACATCACAGATGTAGCGACATCGTGGATGTCACTGGGTAATGTCGAATCTAGCGAGGCATGGCGTGCGATATAATTACATCGTAGACATCCCGTATATGTGGGTGTAGTACCAGCCCTAGAGGAGCTCAGTGAGCGCTGATAGAGAGCGCTGAGTGGCACCACGCTCGGCGTGCAGTGCTGTCCCCTATAAGAGGGAGGTGTGAGAGTGCCGGCCATGAACGGGGTTAATGTAGGCCATGGCACTCTGGTTGACCCTAGAAGGCACGTGACGGGTAAGATCTACACAGGGGCCCCAAGTGGGGGCTAAGGGTAGTCACGTGTCGGGGCGAGATCCTGCTAGAGGATTCGAAAAGGTGGTCGTGGCCAAGGGCGGAGCCAGCCACGACCACCTTTTCAATTAAGATTATTATGCATGAACTTAGGAAGGCACCACGCAGACACTTCTTGTGTTAAGCAATTTTAATTTCTAAACAAAACCTTAACACTCTAATATGTGAACTCTTATGCTTGGAATTGTCAACACAGTACTCCTGGAGATGTTCCCCTCATTGATCCATACATTTCACCCTCAATGATCACGTTCGTTAACTGGGTAACCGAACAAACGATTAATTCCTTAGAGTAACACGAGCATATACGGCGATAGGAAAAAGTCCTTAAACATGCATGCAACGATATTCATACGAAGGCAATAAAGAAACATGTCCCGAAGGCAAAAGTATACGGCAATGAATTCATGGGCAAGATTATGTAATTAATGAAATGTTGGAACAATGGTGTGCGGCAGTATGCCCGCTTCAGCAAATACTCATCTACTGGCTAAGGCTTCAATATTCTTGCGGGCAGATTCTGTGATCAAAAGAACGATTTCAACACAATATTCTCTCTGTGAGTGTGCAGATTCGTAACTTAGGTTTCTAAACGTTTATTTTCCGTCGATGAATTCATTGATAATATTTATGCAAATAAAAAGAAACATAACTACTAAACATACTTCTAAACGACCGTTTCCCCGTAACCCAATGGCAGCCGTGTTCTTCGTTATCAGTTGATACTTGACGCACTTATCATGAGTCTTCTTATTAATTTTAGTCCGTGTATGTGTTGAGTGTGGGTGTTATTTGTCTTCTTGATCAATTATTTGCGTTAAGCAGACGCCGAGGTTGGGTATTCCTTGTATCAAAAATGTGTTTGTTCCCTGCAGATCGGTGAGGGTGTGAGGGTGTGTGTATCATACGGAGAGCTTGGCACTCCCTCTTTCACACGGGCGGCCACAGTTTCCATCCACAGCTGGGTGGAAGAGTCGGCACGATGCTCGCCGTCGGTGCGTGATGATCCCGTCGTCAGATAGCACCCACAGCTTGTCCGCTGGCAGCTGTTTCTCACTCTTGTCTTTGTTCCCGGCTGGTGCTGGTCGGTGTGAGTGTGGGTCGAACCCACGGCGCTCTCGCTGGCACTCTCCTCTTCCTCACGGGCGGCTGGTCAGGCTCTTTCCCCTGCTGGATGAGCCGAGTCGGCACAACGCTTGTCCGCTGGCAGCTGACACCCTTACTTGGTGGCGCTGCTGCACAATCTCTCTCTTGCTCCGTCTCTCTCTGGCGGTGCCGATTGCGCGTGCAGCTGGTTCTCTGCAATGCTGGCTTGGTCGATGCTTGGGCCCTCTCCGCCCTTTCTCTAAGTTGATTGTTTGACGCTGCTCGCCAGTTCAACTCGAGCTACAGCTGCACGTGGGAGCTGGTACTCACTATAAAAGTATAATAACTTTCAGCGATACCCTGTCGGTCCATGCCGAACTCAGCACAGAGTGTCACCTCGCCCCTCTTCTCTGTGAGACACAGCACCCATTGTTGATCTCGAGGCCATGCCCTGGAGCCTGCCCGTCGCAGTACTCTTCCTTGTTCGCAGCACTTCGATCCTTCCAGAGCTGATCTGTGTATGTCGTGTCGCTGATTATATGTGGAATTTCGCCCACCTCGGCTCGCCTTCTCACAAAGGACCGGAACGTCCTTTGATTTCGCTCTCAGCCTGTGGGAACAGCTGTTTGTCCGGCCTGTGTGTGTGTCATATTTATTGAAGTAATATAAGTTTCATCAAGGCATGGTTCCTGTCGCCTTCCTCAAGCCATCCCGCCATCAAAAGGAAACAGATGCTCCAGATTACCTCCGAGTGCGTCCTTCTTCTCCACCCTCTGCACTAATTAATCTGGAAGAGGGGGGGGGGGTTCTCCCTGTGTGACATTCTTTTGCCTCTCACAAATGGTGTGTTGAGGCTTTTGAAGTTAAATATTTAATTTTACCTCTTATAGCTTGATACCGTACCACTTTGTAGTTATGATTCTGTACATGACTCAAGGTATGTTTGTGGTAGTGTTTCTATCGTGGTGTTTTATTTTTTTAT